GAGAATTCTGAGGCTAACTGTCGGGAACGACAGTTCGCATATCCCTATTTTACTCGTCGAACGCAGCTAACTGGCGGGAACGACAAAACACATGTTCACATACCACATATTCAGGTTAAACTATAAATTTAATGCAATAAAACTTTTAAAAAATCTGATTCTTAGCATTGAAACACACAAGACGAAAAAAAATTATGGGTACAGCTCAAATTCCTAAATTAAATAAAATTTAGTTCAAATCCCAAGTCGAACCAACCCATTAACAGAATATTAATTTGGTCAATCAACAACAATCTATATCCCAAAAACAAAATTGTAACTAGCGAAAAAAATATAAAAGAGAATGAAGAATTCAAGGAAAGACACCATACAGTAAAAAGATCGTTGTCTTTCAGGCGAGTGGTTCGAAGATTAGACATGGGTTTGATGGAATTGGAAGGCCACTCCGTTTTGGATTTCTTGTTCGCATTCCTCGCTTTTTTTCTTTCTCCCATTTTTCTCTTCATACCTTGGCAACAAAATCATATTGCAAAAAAACTTTCTGGATGTTGTAATCGGGGAGAGTGCGGCCATCTTCAAGGCTTAGGTTTAAAAAAAAAAAATCAAAATCTGGGTGGGCACCATTGTAGATCCGCCAGTGGGAGGGAGAGAGATCACTTATTTNATCACTTATTTCGGAGAGAGAAATGGGAAGTTCTGGAGATTAGGTGGGAAAAATGGACAAATTGGACAATTTTCATGTATAGTCAAATCATAATCAATGCAAGACATGGAAGGTATTAAAATTATGTAGAGGGGTAAAAATGTCCAATTTTGACATTCTTGCAACTTCTTTAAAAAGGTGACATTTTGGTACACATATAATAGCAAAATGACATTTGATGTAATTTCCTCTATTTTAAATAGTGATTGTTAGGAGAATGTGTAATTAAAAAGTATGAAAAACTTCTGGATTTACGATCAAAATATTTTATTGTGTAAATTTATAATTGAAAATGAGTATGTAAAAAAAATAACTTTCGAAAAATGGTTGTCAAATAGGGACTTAATGATTTTAAGAAGAACATGAATTTCGCAGCCACAGTCGAGATAATGATGATTTAATTTATTTTATTTTTTTTCCCAAAAATGCAAATCCAATTAATAATTTGTCTCCCGTGTTGTTGCGCCCAGTTTACATAGAATTTTAAATTGACATTCGCCCCCAGGACACATCTCCAAGTGGTAAAAGGGGAAGGTGGAAAAACTCAAACTTTGCTTGAGGTTGTCGAATCAAGGATTCGAATCCTGAAATATGGATTTGACCCTTGGGTAAGTGCAAGTGTACAAGTAGTCTTCCACCCTATACCCTTGAAGGCATAATTTGCGATTTACCTCCTTTACCAAGGCTCAGAGGAGGGCAGGTGGGGGCCGTTAAGGATGCGGTTCATCCTTTAAATTGACATTCATTTTGGTATTGTAATTAAAGCAAGCGTGATATTAGCCTTCTTTATTTTTCAGTTACAAATTGTAATTGAGAAATGACAGGAACTAGGTAGCAGTATGTTGTGACTCGAACCCTTGACTTAAGTGTGCTTCCAACAATTAAGCTAAAAAAGTCGTGCTTCTGAAATAACACTTTCTTAAATGTATGTTAATTGCTGGATTGTTAACATTTGGCAACTTGGTTACTGTTGATTAAAGTTCTAGATGGTTCTGATTTTTATCTCACTTGGTGCACTGTTTGGCAGATTGAGTTGTGGGTTTTCGTTAGTTCCTCTACCTTCTAGAGAGAAAATCTCATTCTTTGATTAGGGTTTCATATTCTTGAGTGATTAGAGTGTGTAAATGTTAGAATTTCTTAGATGTACTTCTAATTGTGAGAAGTGATACATTTCTGAGTGATTTGTGTAATGAATCTATGTGATTCGTGTAATCTTCATATTCTTGAGTGAGTTGAGTGTGTAAATGGTAGAATCTCTTAATTGTACTTCTAATTGTGAGAAGTGAGACATTTCTGAGTGATTTGTGTAATGACTCTATGTGATTCGTGTAATCTATGAAGTTTAGAGACATAACTGAGTGATCTGTCTTGTTCTTGGTTAGATGGTGTGTTTGATTCAAAGTCATTTGTAAAGATAAGTTTCTGTGGCTTCATCTTGTATTTTTGAACTGATTGTAATCTTTGGCTACCATATTTTTTGCTATTAGTGCAACTGAGCAGATATTCATTATTTGGATGTTCAACGGAGGATGTAGGCGTTAGATCCGGTCGCCAAACCTCCGGGGCTTAGGCTGAAATAATTCTTTGTGTTCAATCTTTAAATTTCTGTAAGTTTACTTTCTGATCTATTGATGTTTAGTGAAATCTTGTTGTAAGATTGTGTGTTGTGGGCCTTTTCACAGTATTTCTTAAATTATTATTTGTAGTATATTGATTCTAATGGGTAATTATGATTTTTTCCCTGAAAAAAAAATCTTCAACAATATTCGAATTAAACAATTCATCACCAATAAGCATTCCCAACTAATACATTATTTTTATTATTATAACCTTATTTAATTCTATTGTAAGTTTAAAGCCTTGTTGAACAAGAAATGGTCCACTAACTAAATTCTTTCTAACTTTCGGAACATGTCGAACTTGATCTAAAATCAAAGTATTTTCATAAATCATTTTAAGTACCTGAGAAAAAAAAATGAGAGCTGGGATAAGTTAAAAATTGTTAGTAAAAAACTAAAAATACAAAATACAACCAACATCTTCCTCACTATGAAATTAACGAAATATAAAAATACCCCCCACTCAAGCTAGCTGCTCTTCCATAGTTTTTTACATAATTATTGACTTGCTGACAAATGATTAGAAACAGTTTCAACAAATTCTAAGAAAAAGTAAACGATCTGATCAGTAGTAGAGAAGGATGGACTCGCCACCGCCTGCGGCTGCCGGTGGAAACAAACTACCACCGTCGCCATCGTCAAAGACTGCAGAATTGGATACTCCGCTGCACGCAATTGGCTTCGAAATTGACGACCTCTCACCTAATAAAGTCACCGGCCACCTTCTAGTCACCCCAAAGTGCTGTCAGGTAATAATCACTCTCATCTCTAAATTCTGATGCATATATGCATGTCTGTAACATAAATAATTGGGCATAATTTTATTGTGTGGGGCAGCCGTTCAAGGTGTTGCACGGAGGGGTGTCGGCTATGATAGCGGAGTCGCTGGCGAGCATAGGAGCCCACCTCGCATCGGGCCTCCGGCGAGTGGCTGGAATACACCTTAGCATCAGCCATCTCAAGAGTGCCCAATCCGGAGACCTTGTCCTTGCCGAAGCCACTCCTATAAATGTTGGCAAAACCATTCAGGTATTGACTAGGAACACGATTTTGTATAATAAATTGTGGGTTAAAAAAAAAAAAAATTCGCCAAACATGCACTATAACTTATGATCCATTTAAGGACTAAAACGTGAGACTGTCCGGCAACATCGTCCTAGCAGATTTTCCATTTGGATTTGACTATGAAGTTTGGTGATTTGGTCGAGATAATTTAAAGTGAAGTGATCTAATTGAGACTTTGCTTGAAGTAGGGCGACCCCCAATAAATTTAACCTGCCCCTAAAGTGTAGGGCACGAATCTACGATCCTAAATAGTTTTAAGGAAAACCAAAAGTTGAAAAAATCATTTGTCAAAACTTCGTGCCAAAGATGTCATTTGAGTTTTTAGTGATAAACATGTAAGAATAGTTCACCATTCTGGGGTTCTTGAGCTAATGACATCTCAAGCATCCCACACGCAACCGTAGATCATCAGAACTCTTCCCCACGGCAGCAAAAGTCGTAAGTGCTCAAATGTGTATATCGATTATGATAACCAAACATGCAGGGTCGGGCTTGAAATTTTTGAAACCCTCAATGATAAATTATCACAAGGTCCCCATACAATTTTTTTACAAAAATATTATCATCTAATATGATCGAATCAAACAGTTTCTCAGAAACATTATACTTATGGTACTTACTCGAGATTTGATTTGTCCGAGAATCAATTTATTTGTTCAATAAATAAAATATAAAGCTTTTTTGTAAACCGAGAGTGGTGACTAATACTTATAATCCAATATTTTAATTAAAAAAATTCAAAAGCAGCAATAAATTAAAATACATTATTGGTAGGAAGGACACCTACATTATTTGAACTACCATGAAATATCCAATGGCAAAAAATTCCATAAATAAATAATAATTTTTTTTGGACTTCAAAAATTTTTTGAGACCCCCTCATACTTTGTGGCCCAAGGCCACTGCCTAGGTTGCCTTGGACTAGAACCGGCCCTGCAAACACACATACGCACATTTGGCTATTCAAATGAAAGTACATGCAATATAAGAAACACGGATACTTATTGCGTATTATATATGAATATGTATTCTAGTTGGGATATATTTGGATACGCTTTAGTATGTACAGGATACATATTTTTTATTTTTTAAAATTTCTATACGTATTGTTGCAGGTTTGGGAGGTGAACCTTTGGAAGCAAGATCCTTCGAAGTCTGAGAACAGAACTTTGATATCATCGTCAAGAGTGACTCTTCTTTGTAACATGCCTGTGCCAGAAACTGTCAGAGATACTATAGAAAATCTCAAAAAATATGCAAAATTATGAGATTTATTCAATGTAATGCACTGCTGTAACTGTTATTCATAGTAATCTACAATCAAATTAAGCATCTTCCTGTTGAACAAGTCTGCATATAGCCCCAGAAGAAACCGCAGACGCTTCACAATTAAGGACACTCAATTAGATTGTTTTTTTTCATCATGCTAAGACCACACTTGACATGCAAAACTGGCATTAAGCTGAAAGAAGATTACTTCACTAGCCCTGTCAACCATAAATATTAAATTCATAATTCATAAATAAAGCTTGGAACAGAAGGAAGTGTCCAATGCTTAATCATTATGGCCTCCCAAAAGGACGTAAATTGAGTAACACTATTTATAGTCAAGTCATCTTATGTGACAGCTTGTAATTTGAAGCATTAGCTTCTTATTTAAGGCAACAAAATTACAAGAAATTAATGCTCAAATAATAAACTGTCACATAAGATGACTACTGCAATCACTGACTATGAATATCGTTATTCATATAAGTTTGATCATCCTCACTTAGCAGGCTTAAAACAATAATTGCCCAAGTCTTCAAAATTTGATCATTTCCACTTGATGTGCCCTAAAGCATTTCTTGATTGGTCGACACCTTGAGAGCAGTGAAAGAATTAACCAAAAGCAAATGATTATTCTAGAATGGCTATTCAATGAGTGCATTGAGAAGTATGGCATGAAAGATGCACTTATTTAATTTCACCTATCATTTAACGCCACATTAACACCACATAGATTGGGGATGCATCCCCAGTGGGGATGAATAGTATTTCTCAATTAAATGAGTATGTTGGGCATCTTTCATGCCATACTTCTCAATGCACTCATTGAATAGCCATTCTAGAATAATCATTTGCTTTGGTTAATTCATTTAATTTCATCTATCATTTAACCAATCATTTACATCCACATAGACTGGGGATGAATAGCATTTTTCCATTTAATTAGGATGAGGTTTTAGGCCTGCCAAACATTATTGGCAATCCTGTTCTATGTTATGCTGAGTGTTCAGGGCAGTACTGTATCACTTTGAAGGCTAAAACGAGGCTAAACTGAAACCAAATCGAATCAAATTTGAAACCATGGACAAGATACTTCTACTGTCACTGCATATATTACTTGCTTCGAGAAGCAAATGTTCTGTTGTGACATATATGAAGTTTTATATACCACCATCTGTAGATTCATAAATGGCCTAAAGTTGAGATTAAATGTGAGCTTACATTGCATTTCCCTGACTCATAAGAGAAGCGTACAATAAGCCTTACGGCTTTGATGAATTTGTGCTTATTCTATGAGATACGTAGCTCACCCACCTGTTGATGCTTGACAAATCTAGTCCAAGTTCCTCCGGTAGGCCTTCCTGGATCATCCAATGGATCAAACCTTCATGAATATAACACATTTAACCTTAACTCAAGTAGAGGTAATTGTCTTCTACCTCTAGCTCCCTTCCGTCTGCTTCCCAAATAGTTATATTTTTGTCATGCCGGACACCATATAGTTCAGTGTCCACATTGCATTCTTGCACCAATATCTAGTTTCCCTCAAGTAAGAACCTTATTCAAAGGACCTCTACTATCATGGCTTACCTATGGATATAATTCATATTCTACTAGGAGGATCTAAACTGGAAGGAATCCTGATTTTGTTTTAGTAGTTCCATGTTCCGAAACTATTCATGCTCCTTATACAACTAAATTGTTTTTCAATAAAATTTTCACTTGCACAATTTGCTTCCTATCATTGTGTCTGATAAGTTCGATAGTACTTTCAAATAAAATTAGGCCTTGCTTGGCCCCCATTTTCTAAAACTCATTTTTTCTCAAACTCATTTTTAACCACACATTCTCACAAATAAAATAATTTCACGTAAACCCAAAACTTTCCCTACTTTTTAACTGCACATTCTCAAACAAAAAAAAAAAAAACCGTTTTTCATAAAATCTATATTCAGAAAATCTCTGCCAAACAGGGTTAGAATTTGGATACGAGAAGTGTCTTAATTCTTTCTTGGATGGAAAGATCATATATGCAATACATGGATTACAGAAGTGTCTTAACCAGTGGAGCAATATTTGCAGCATATAACGCTGAGTCGAGTTATATCAACCTGGAGAAATGATCCCAATGAATGATTACCTTGTGTGATTCTGGGAGATTAAATTCCAAAAAACACTCTTGTTCTAGGCATACATTTAGAAAGTACATATTAATGGATTTTCCAATTCTCCTCTAGTTGCAAAGTACACAAAAGCTACTGCCAATTCATTTTGTTTATTCTAAATAACGGAATAACTTCTATTAACATTTATAAAGCAAGGGAGGATTGAGATACATCATAGAAACTATGCTAAATAATATCCTAAATTAATGATAGGGGAAATTGCAACAGTCCATAACCTTTTCAATTTTTGCTGACTTCACATTAATCTTCTATTTGTGTCAACAAAGGTCCCTAACATTTCAGAAATATGTATCCGGAATCTAAATGGATGGAATCCATTCACTTTTTTCCGTTATTTGACTAAAAAAGTAAACTTTGACCAATTTTTAAAAGGGTAAAAGAGTATATTTACAATTTTAATATAAATAAATGAATAATTAAATAATAAAAAATAAAAAGACTTTCATTTTTTAATATAAATAAAGGATTGCGTTGCGGCGTCATGTGGTGGCAGCAGTGGCCACCGGTCGACGGTAGGTGAGTTTTGTTGGTTTCATTTTCGAGGAATGGGTTGAGTGGGGTGGGTGTTGGGGAAGATGGTTCCAATTCTTTTTTATTTATTCTTTATTTTTTATTTAATAGTTTTAATTTTTTTATATGGAAAGATTTAAAGTTATCATTTTACCCTTATAGAAATAATTAATAATGTGGTCAAAATCATTGTTTTGGTCAACTAATGGAAAAGTTGATGGATTCCGTCCATTTGGACTCTAGATACATATTTCTGAAAGGTTAGGGGCATCCCCTGGCACAAATCCAAAGTTATGGTAAAGTTCAAAAAAAATTGAAAAGGTTAGAGACCGCTGCTGCAATTTTCCCTTAATGATATTCCCTTTTGGTTTTGATCTTGCAATATCATTTGCATCATTTAAATACAAAAGCCCAATATAGTTTTTGTATTTGGTATCCTTTTTTTTTTAGTGCAAGATTTGGTATTTTTTATCCCAATTCTTTTTTATGATTTTTTTTCACCTAATTCTATAACCTGAGAATAAACAACAGTTGTAGACTCCAGTACTGAACAAGAATGCTTGTAGTCTAACATGTAGTCCCTAACAAGAATGTGCAAGATGGATCGATTTCACATTGTGTCCAACATTAACTACTTGAGTGGGAGCAAATGGTTTTCGATAGGACTCGAGTGCCCAGCGAAGAAAGAAAGGCTAACATGTACACCCTCTAGAAAAAATCCTCAACTTGGTAGTAGACTCCAGTATTGAACAAGAATGCTTAGTGCTTACTAAGAAAAATAAACACACATGGATACAAACAAGTTACATCAACCAAATGATCGATTATGTAACAGACTACATAGATCATATGAATTTCTATATGGAATTGTGAACACAATACCTATAAGACTGTAATGAAATCTGAGTTTCTTGTTGAGGAATTATAATGGAACATCGACAGCAGAATTTATTGCTTCTTATCTTTCTTTGCACGAAGACTCCCGGATATCCTTCGCCTGAACAACCCAAAAATCATATACTTGCACTCACTACTGATACAACATGAAGTAACACTAGTAATGGAATTCTATTAATTCTAGAGGAAGGTATTACCTGAGAACGCTAAGTTGTTGTGTAAATTCTTTGATCTCAAGGCAGGACAGTTTGAGCGATAACAAGGTTCCTGGCACCTCTTTTGAGACCAAACCAGATAGTTTGTCCATTGAAGTAGCCAATCTTCTGAGATTCTAAAAACACATAGCATAACAGTGATCGTAGATATGCATATTCCGATTACACGAGTTATATGACATATCTTATAGAAACGGTGAGAGTAGTATCACTCTAAATGAGTTATTAAGGCATATCTGGTAGAACCTCATCAAAAAGCTAATGTGTAAGGGAAGGCCTACGTGGCATTCATTTAAATCTTGCTTTCACTCATAAGCAGGTCCATTTCTTTCCATGTGCACAACTTTAATAAATCACAAGCCTTGTGTCCCCAGTACCCATGTTAACCAATTCATCTAAAATTTTAAGTTAACACGCGTATTCATATCTTCAACAAAACAAAGTGTTGTAACTAACAAGACTAGAGAAAGAGAGTATTTACTTACAAACATAGCAGGAATAGCAATTATGGCCAAGCTCAAAACTGCTCCTATAGCCTGAGAGATGATGCACATAGAGAATCAAAACAGTACTTTTGTGCTTGCGTGCTACAATTTTTAGGAAGTGAATAAGTATAACATACCATTGAGAGGACAAATAGGAGAGAAATAAGGCCAAATTCAGGGGAGGGTCTAACATTAATCTTGAAGCGTGTAACCGCATCAATCAGTGGCTTCGGTGATGATGAATAAGTGTACAGCTTCCCAATTGGCAATGCAGATTTACTTTTTCCGACGGAGATGTTTGTAGCACGAGCCACGACCGCATGCTGCCGGGGCCGATAAATTGCTACCTCCAAGAACCGATGTGGAACCGACGTTTTCACCGTAGATGTACTGAATATGCTGTGGCTGTGGCATTGCTGCCAACAAGAGTAACACTGCATTTTCGATTTCTGTGGGGACTTGCGTCGAACAGTCACCAGGTGTTCTTTTTCTCAAAATGGTTAAAAACTTGAGACCTATTAATAAACGATTGACCCTCAACTTTTCGCAGTGTTCCATTTTCATAATTAAAATTTCATATTTTACTTTAGGGAAAATTGCAGCAGAGGTCCCAAATCTTTGAATTTTTTGCAGACTTTACCTTAATTTTCAGTTTGTATAATCAGTGATCTCAAATCTTTAAAAAATTAGCACCTGGATCCAAATGAATGAATTCCATCAAGTCCATCCATTTGACCGTTAGTTGTCCAAAAAAATACCCTTTGACCAAATCTAAAGAGGGCAAAATAGTAAATTCATTATTACTCCACTTAAAATAATTTTTTTTTTAAAAAAGGAAAATAGAATTATTCACCCCGCCCCACCAATCCTTATCGACCTAACCCAATCCAACCCACTAAATCAAAACCAAATCAACTTGCTATAGTCGTTGCCTTCTTCCACACCCGCCACCACTCCTCGTTGTCATCGGTTTCTATGGGCATTTCGTTGTAAAAGCATTGCTGGTCAGACCACAGCTTCTCGTTTAATAGATTCCTGCTTTCTGGCAATAAAAATATCCCCAATCACTACTCAAATCAAAGAGTGAAAGAATTTCTCAACTGCTAAACCACATTAAGCTTTTCATCCACCGCAAGAGAATCACAACAACAACCATCGCATTCTAAGGGTTGGGTTGGGGTTTGGGTTGAGGTTGAGGTGCTCAATTTTCCTTTCACTTTTTTATTTTAATTATTTTATGTGGAATAATGATGAATTTACCAATTTACTCTTTTAGATTTGATCAAAATACATTTTCTTGGTCAACTAACGATCAAATAGATGGAATCTATCCATTTGAACCACATGTGCTAATTTTTAAAAAGTTTGGAATCATTGGTGACACAAACAAAAGGTTGATGTAAAGTTTGCAAAAAACTCAAAGATTTGGGATCGCTACTGCAATTTTTCCTTTACTTTATGTTTGTGACTTAGGACCCGTTTGACACCCATTTTTTTGGATGAAATTTCGTTTTTCTACAGTAAAATCTGATTAAACGTACAATCCACTGAATCATTTGTCAGTTTTCTATCAGACCATAATCCGTTGAAATTCACAGACCATTTTGCCCTCTATTTTCAGTCCAATTTTCGTATTTGCCCTCCATGTAATTCAATTACGTGAAAGAAAACAAAAAGTACATAAAGGGCAAAAACGGAAATAACAATATTTGAAATTGAAAAGTAACAATTTCTGAGTCCACCGTACTGCAGCCTGTCACAGGGGACCCACTTTTGTTGCAATTTGGCAAAAAAATTGGTCAAACGAATCAGTGGGCTGTACGGGAAGCAGCTTTCACTGTTGAAAAATGAGAATTTATCCCAAAAAATGGGTGTCAAACGGGTCCTTAACTTCAACATTATTCCAAGTTTGTCCCTGAACTTAAATATTTGTTACAAATTAATCATTTCATAAACATATTGATTAGTTTGACTAATACAAATACTGAAGTCATAATCTAAACCTCCGGTTAGACAATAATTTATAAATGGTTTAAAAATTCAATCAAAGCCCAACATTAATTTCAATCACATATTCAGAATTATAAACATTATTAATTACACATTTAATGAAACCAACTACTCCATCTGTCTCATTTATATAGGCTGGTTATATTTTTCATAGTAATTAAGAAATCTTATTTAATATTACTGGAAAAACAATTTTTGACAAAAACTTTCGTAATTTACCTTTATTTAATTATTATTGGAAGTAGTAAATAAGTGTATATTAGTAAATGAACATGTTGNAAAACACCAAGAAAACTCATTGTAACACTTTGAATATCTCTTACAACTTGTAAAGTAATATTATTGCTTTATGATGATAGGAATCTCTTCCACTTGTTTCCCTTGGATGATCATTTGTATATTAAGTTGGCTCTAATTTTGTCCACTCAATTTTGGACGTCAACAGAACATAATAAAAATTTCTCAATAAAGAAAAATGATTATATAATTGGAATAAGAAGATAAGAAAAGTCAATCTATATAAATCGACAAAGAGAGTATCATTAATCTTATTATTCACGTTTATATATTTTATATATTTGCAAAAATTAGGCTAATTGATAGTTTAGTTGACAGACAACTACATTGTCAACACACTTTCTACTGTAAATTGATATTTATTATATTAGAAAAAGTAACATATTGATCTGTATCTGTGGCAACATAGCACGGAGTGAGTTATATAAGTATCAACGATGTAGCACATCAATGGATGATGGATAGATATTAAAGATATACTTTATTTACATATTAGTCCTACGCCAGTACAATGTACGGGCTTTGGTATTTGTAAAATAATGTTAGTTTATCAAATATTAATGAAAAACTAAATTATTGTGGAAGTTCAGTAAGTTTTTATCTAACATAATAATTAGTGAAATTTCATAATAATAATATATTTAAATGAAAAGATTTGGTAGCCAAATTTTTTTTCCAGGGAAGAAATTAATGGAACAATATTAATTTTTCTAAACTTGCTAAAGTTTGACAATTCATATTTATACTCTGTACCAAAATATTTATAGTACCCATTGAACAAGGAAAGAAAGTTTTTTGTTAGTAGAACGACTCCGCGTAGTGCGGAGATACTCGAAACTCCGCACACTTACTCTGTAATGTGCGGAGTCTCGTGTGCGGAGATACTCCGCACTTTGCGGAGTGAAAACTTCGCACAGTTTGGAGATGTCTCCGTGCATGTGGGAGATCATCTCTCCACGTGCATGGTGTCTCTCTGCGCAGCGCAGAGACTTCTCCGTAAGCTTTCCGCGCGATGTATGCGTTGGAATTTCAACCAAATTGCACAATCTATATTTTTTTAAGCTTTGCGCGACCTCAACGAAAACGGCTGTATCTTTGAAATCATAAGCAGAATTGCGCAAGGTTAGTGCCGTTGGATTCGTATCGTCAGTATCTAACTAACTGTCTTTGGGCTAACTATCTTTCAGGCTATTTTCCGCAACGTTTGGTGGGTCAAAATCGACCTCAAAGTTAGCTGTTTTTCCATTTTTTTGCTGTTGGAGGTTTGACTTTTGCTTATTTGTCTTTGAGTTTACAATAACAGAGAAAGAGATGGAAAATGATGTCCATTCAGTTTATTATGAGCTTGAACAAAATTAAATAGGCCAATTCAAAATTGCATTGCTTGAAGACAACCATCAAGAATAGTATAAAAACTAAATAAACATTGTCTACGAGATATATTTGATGACTAAATCATGAATATTCACATGAAGAAACTACATCAACAGCTCTCCCATAACTCATAAATGGCTACATTCTTCATTTTACCATGTTAAATCAGGCCGTGAAATAAACCATATTTTGTTTCAAAGAACTATTTGAAAACTTTACACTTATTTCTTACTGGAAAAACCTATTTGTTGATAGGTTTCAAAGGAAATTTGAGGTAGGCTTCCTTTCGATAAACTTACCAACGCAATCCAGAACTACAAAGATGTGTGTAGAACATAAATGTCACCCATACATGGATTTTTTAGGACAACTTGAATTCAGTTATCTCAAATCCTCGAGCCATCTCTCTAAACATTTTTTGTAGTTCCTCAACACTATATGTCTTGCCCTGCAAACAGAAATATGAGATTAGTCACAGCTCCAAAAAGGAGATTCCATGACACCAAAAATGTATTACAATTTACAAACTTTTGCGAAGAGAATTATGTATCCATTAGTAAAGAGGCAATGGTCTTAGATTCATCACCTAATAAACTATTGATTAGCCAAAATAAAAAAACTCACTTTTGCGAAATAGAGAAAAGGTCGGAGACAAAAGTGATTTTCTATCAACGAAGACATTGCTCAGGAAAATATATATATATATACCTATTGCATAACCTTCTTATTTAGGATATTATAAGACTGAAGTTCTGAAAGAAGATTAAGAGTTACCTATTATAACATTTAGTAAAAACTTCATCTGCAAAAAGTTCAGAGAACTAACCGAGTCAGAAAAACTAATTCATAAAAGCATAGAAAAATGGATCAATAAAATAATAAGAACATCATATACCTAAATTAGAAAGTTACTTGACTTGTGTAAGGATAAATGTACTTTGGAGTCAAAAATATAAATTTGCATTTGATGATCTGAATTGATGTACCCCCTGAGTCCATAGAATGTTTTCTCTTTGCAATGACCATGCAAGTAATCTGCAACCCATGAACAAAATTTAGGCTATTGAATTCAAAAAGCAAACATTGCAAATCGTAAGTAAAATGGTGAAACTGACATCAAAGACCTGGTACCTTGCTGATCGTTGTCGAAACAAGGATGCAAAAAATTTGGCAATTCTATCTACAATTAACCAAAATTTTAGTTGACAGCGTTGTTGGGGAGGCTAAGGCTAAGGCTGGAACATGAAAATGTTGCACAAAGCTAATGCTGGAACAATGTAACTTTTGGTTCCTTTCTTGTTGGTTTGCTTCTCCAATACAAAGGTACATGGAGAAGATATTTATAAAATATCAACTGTAACAGGACGGCTAAGGATAAGTAAAATATATACCAATTAGTCAACAAAGATGGCTAGATATTTAGGTAGATTAGAAAGTGACTGTAGCAAAATCAGATGAAAAGAGGATAAATATGAAAACTCGTGTGACATAAATGAACAATGATCCAATGATTCTCTCTTTTAAGATAGTGTAGATATAGCATGTAATTTAGGTTCACATAGTGAGCTGTGCGAGAAAGTGACTCATCGGGTCATATGTTCAAATGTTGGGTTGGCGGTTGAAGTAACGAATCAATTGCCGATTTTATAATTTTTTTTCAGTTATTTTCAAATATATATGAAACAAAAACAACATGTAATATTAGAAAATATTACAAACTTCTTTTTTTGTAACAAAAAAAGTTACTTAATATAAGTTT